CTCAAGTCAAGATGAACTTGATTGTAAGCCCTGAGAAAAAACAACTTTCAACCCAGACTGATGTACCCTGAAAAACTATCTTTCAAAATTAATGAATAAGATACTTCCATGATAAAGAAAAACTGAAAAAATTCATGACCACCAAACCAACCCTAGAAAGAGTACTGAAAGATATTCTAGACAAAACAAGATGATTGAAATTTAACAATGGTTGTTATATTGCATACTGTTATCTCCAAAATTTTGTTGCTGTTGTTGATGATGATGATGTTTTGTCATTTGGATTTTTTTTCTTTGTTTGGATGCTTTTTTTTCTCTTTAAAAAAAATAAATAAAATCAAATAAAAAGACATTCTAGACAGAAATAAAGAACACCAACAGAAAGAAACCACCAGGCAGGGAAAGCAATTAAACAGAGGGGAAACACAGGAAACCATCAACAAGTAAATATCATGACAAAGGGGCTGGGGATTTAGCTCAGCGGCATAAGCACCTGCCCTGCAAGCAGGCGGTCGTGAGTTCAATCCCTGGTACCGATAAAAATGAAAAAGACAAAAAAAAAATTAATATCATGACAAAGGTAAGCCAGTACATATCAGTTATAACCATCAATATAAATAGCCTCAACTCACCAATCAAAAGAAACAGACTGGCAGAGTGGATCAAGAAACAAGATCAAGTGGGATTCATCCCAAGGATGCAGGGAAACCTTGTGTTATAGTTTGTAACTGTTTGTCCCCCCCAAGGCCTCATGTAGCCACAGAGGCATGCTTTTCATAGATGGACTTCTAGAGTTTATGATTCATTTGTGGTCCAATGCTGGCATTATAGGTGTGTGTTATACCTACCCTATGGTGGGTAGGCTACATATAAGGGACAAAGAGTCCTCTCCACATGCTTCTTCCTTTTGCTCTTGTTGTTTTTGATAACTGCTGCCTCCAGGAACTGTTGCTCCTCTGCTACACCAGCCTCTTTTGGAGCCAGCTGATTATGGACTGAAACCTCTACACATAAGGAGCTAAATAAATCTCTTCTTCCTTAATTCCAGCATTGGGTATTTTGTCTCAGAAATGAGAGAAAAGTAACCAACACATCATCCTAAATAACCAATGGATCACAGATGAAATTAAGGAAGAAAGTAAACAATAACTACAACTAAGCAAGAATGCAGATACAACCCACCAGAACTTATGGGACATGATGAAATCAAGACAGAAATTTATAGTGGTAAATTCTCACATTAGGAAAATGGAGTGAACACAAATTAACAACCTAATGTTGTATCCCCAAACTTCTACAAAATGAAGAACAAGACAAGCCTAAAGCCCATACATTGGAGGAAATTATAAATATCACATTAGAAATTAATGCAATGCAGACTAAGAAAATCATACATATAGTTAAGTAATCAAAGAATTGGTTCTTTGAAACAATAAATATAAACCCTTAGCCAACCTTATCAAAAAAAAGCAGATTCAAATCCATGCATTGAGGAATGAAAAATGTTGTATCACTAGAGATTTTTTGGAAACTCAGAAGATCTTCAACACCTACTTTGAAAATCTTTACTCTTACATGATGGAAAATACAGAAGAAATGGACAGATTCCTAGATATGTATGAATTACCAAAGCTGAATCAAAAAGATAAAAATTCTGAATAATATCAATGTTAATGACATTGAAAATGTAATTAAAATTTACCAACACACACAAAAAAAGCCCAGGTCCTGACAGATTCACTACTGAATTCTACAAGAAATTTAGAGAAGTCTTAATGTCAATAGTCCTCAAACTCTTTAATGAAATTGAAAGGGAATCAATACTCCCTAACTCATTCCTGGAGGCACGTATTACCCTGATACAAAAACCCAAGAAAGACCCAACCAAAAAAGAACTACAGGCCAGTCTCTCTAATGAACATAGATACACAAATCCTCAATAAGATACTAACAAGAAGAATGCAGCAAATCATCAAGAAGATTACACACCATGACCAAGTGGGATTCATCCCAAGGATGCAGGGATGGTTCAACATATGCAAATCAACAAATGTAATACACCACATCAACAGAGCCTAAGACAAAAATCACATGATTATCTCAATAGATGCAGAAAGGGCTTTTGACAAAATCTAACACTCATTCATTATAAAAAAAAAAACCTTATAGAAAGTATATGGTCTTTACCTCAACCTGATAAAAGCCATCTATGACAAACCAACAGCCAACATGATACTAAATGGACAAAAACTGAAAGCTTTCCCTCTAAAATCAGGAACAAGACAAGGATGTACACCATCAACATTCTATTTAGTATAGTTCTGGAAACATTAGCCAGAGCAATTAGACAAGAGAGAAATAAAAGGAATGAGGACAGGAAACATAAGAGTGAAATTATCATTATTTGCAGATGACATGATACTCTACATAGAAGACCCAAAAAACTCCTCCAAAAGACTTCTGGATTTAATAACCAAATTCAGTAGTATAGGTAGATACAAAGTCAACACTCAAAAATCAATAGCATTCCTGTACACAAATAACAAACTCACTAAGAGAGAAATTAGGGAAACAATAGCATCCAAATACTTAGGAACAAATCTAACAAAGGAAATAAAAGAGCTATACATTTAAAAGTACCGTACTCTGAAAAAGAAAATCAAAGAGGCTATCAAAACATACAAAGATATCCCTTGCTCATGGATAGGAAGAACCAACATAGTGAAAATGAAAATGACCATATTCCCAAAATTATTATACAGATTTAATTCAATTCCAATAAAAAATATCATTAGTCTACCTCATAGAACTGGAGAAAACATTCCTAAAGTTCATTTGGACCCAGAAGAGATCTAGAATTACAAAAACAATTCTGAGCAACAAAGGCAAGGCAAGAGGCATCACCTGAAATTATACTACAAAGCTACTGTGATAAAAATTAGCATGGTACTGGCAACAACAACAACAAAAAAAAAATACTTGAGGATCAGTAGAACAGATTAGAAGATGTAACCACATCTACAAACACACTCAGTCACTTTATGTTTGACAAAGAGGCCAAACACGTTCACTGGAAGAAAGCTAGCAATTTTCATTGCACTGGAAAAACTGGCTCTCTATATGAAGACTAAAGTTAGACACAGGTCTTTCCCCAAGCACTAAAGCCAAAATGGACCAAAGATCTAAATATTGAAACAGAAACACTAAATCTACTGCAAGACAACATAGGAAGAAATCTTAAAAACATAGATATTGGCAAACTTCATGAACAAAACCCAAAATACACTGGAAATACTTCAAATAACAACTGGGATCTCATCTTATTAAAAACCTTTTGCACATTAAAGGAAATCACCAACAAAGTAAAAAGAAGTGCCTACATCTTAATCTTATGAGTAACTCCTTTGAAGATAATATGCAATGTATTAGCCATTGTTACTCTATCTTGTTTTCAAATTTTGTTATCGTTTTTGTTTCTTTGTCTTTAAAATTAAAAAAATCTCAATCAACACTGTATTAAGCAAAAAGAACAATACAGTAAGGTATTACATTACTGTATCGGACTTCAAAATGTACTACAAATCTGTAGTCATCAAAACAGCATGCCACCAGGTATGATGGTATCCACCTAATCCCAGCACTCAGGAGGTTGTGGCAGGTGGATTATCCACTGCAAGTTCAAGGCTAGGTTGGGCTACCCAGTAAGGTACAGATATAAAAACAGACACACAGACCAATGAAACACAAGAAACAGCCTAAGAGTAAAACCAAACACCTGCAACCCACTGACATTCAACAAAAGTGTTAACAGTCACCGAAGTCTTTTTAATCAAAGGTGCTGAAAACATCTCTCACTATTTACAAAACCAACCAAAACAGATTAAAGACTCATATATAAGAATTGAAAATATAAAACTACCAGAAGAACATATACTGAAAGTACTTTATGATAATGGAATAACAAAGACTTCTGAATAAGCTCTCAAGAAGTATAAGAAACAGAAGTGAAAGTAGACAGATGGGACTATATCAAACTAATAATCTGTTCAGTAAATGAATCAATCAACAGAGAGCAGAAACAACCTACAGAAGAAAACATTTGCAAATTACACTTTATTCTATAAAAACGAGCATGAGGAGTATTTATTAGAAGTACATGTAGGACACACTAAAGTGCAGAATGTAGGTGCTAAAGGAAATGAGGCAATACAAACTTCATTTTTGACAAGGAGTTGATATACAATAAGGAACCTCCCAAAAAATAGTGGAAAAAATTTAATAGACAATAGATCTAAACAAACATTTCTCAAAAAAGGCACATAAATGACCAAAAGGATAAGAAAAAAATGTTCAACATCACTACGCAATTGTAACTATGCATCTTTCTATTCAACCCACAACCACGTAAGAATAGCAACAATCACAAGATATCCTGCATTTAAAGAGACAAGATAAAGAAATGAAGGACGCCTATGAAGGCTGACCTGAGATACTTTTCCAGGACACAATGAATCCTGATTATAAAGATAAAAAAAATTCATCAACAGATTACTTCTAGAGCTTGAAACAGAAATTGTGTATCAAGCCAGTCCACTAAAGCCATGAGAATGCTTTTTCCAATGTAGCTGCTTTTACACAAACATATATACAAATTCCAGTCTAAAAAATTGTGTATTACTGAGGTAGTTAATATACTGAAGTGCTGGGCATGGTGGCACATACTTGTAATCACAGGACTTGGAACCAGAAGGAAGAGAATCACAGCAAGTCCAATGCCAGCTTAAGTCACACCGTGAAGTCAAGGCCAGCCTGAACTACATAGTGAGACTCTGTGTCAAAAAACAAAAACAAAAAAGTATGTTTCTGAGGTGTTTCTCCCCAGAGTCAAATTATAGATTAACAATAAAATATTATTTTCAATCTTTTTATTCACCATTTCTATTCACATTCTATTTATATTCAGATATGCAGATATCATTAAAGACAGGTCAAAACTCAGGTTTAACAATTCCATAGTTTATTTTCATCTCAACACGTTACTTCTGTTTAAACACAAACAAGGTCACAGACAATCTCATTTACAACATTGTGACTCAGTCTGCTATATCCCAAAGCCTCACAAAGCAGATCTTTATGACAAAGTAACAGACAGATACATGTATATATAACAGTCCAAGCATCGGTCTTTCAGGCCAAAGTTCTCTGTAACCAGCAAGAGTGGGTGAGAAAATAAAAGAATAGGACCCGAGTTTCTAGAGACCCTCCTCTCCATTTATGAATAAAGCTACCCTCCAGGGCAGAAGTTACCTCTCCCCAGCTTCAGCTGAACTTCCATCACTTTCTTAGGAGGGTCATAGGAATCTTTTGGAATCTTCTATAGCAAATCTCTTCTTCCCTGTCCTTACAAAGCAAAAGCAGCTAGTAGCAGTTCTCAGTGGGAACTGCTTTTACTCAACCAGGATCAGAGCTTACCTTCAGAATGCCACACAGTAAGAAGCTAGGATTTTCTCTCTTAATGCAGGTTCAATATTAAGAAGACAGTGAAGTCATTCACTCATAATCTCTAGCCAACTTTAGATACATTAAGGCAGAGAGAAGTGAGAGAGATCTATTTTAATCCTGCTCAGCCAAAAGCAGGTCATTCAGGAAAGCCCAGTGATCAAAGTGGTGCTCAGGGTCCTCTCTAAAACAGTCAAAAGGAATGTGTTATTAGAATTGCTTAAGTCATTGCAGGTCTAACTAGACCAAGCCTCCTAGTTCCAGGATGAAATCACTATTTGTTAGTTCTAGGGACAAGCAGATAATCTGCCACTATTTCAAATTTTCTAGCCTGCCTTATTGTCCCGAGAGAATTAAGACAGCAATGGACTAGACTGACTGGGATGAGATGGAGGAAATATATGGAACTCCTTTTGGAGTCACAAGTACACCTACTCCTAGCCCTGCACTAGGAGCCAAATATTAAAACAAAAGTCTTAATTTTAAAAGATTCTCACCACTTACACAACTTTTATGCCTGTCTTAACCCCTCCGCCAATTCCCTTCATATACAAACAAGCAAAAGATGCTGTCCCAACACTTTTAGTATCTCTACTAAAGCAGCATTAATGGCATTTGGCAGAAAATCCCATCCCACATGAAGACTCCTCTGAGTTCAACACACTGAAAAAAAAGATAGTGTTAGAGAAAGGACAGTGACAATCAGAGCCTGGCCTTTCCCATATAAAATAGGCACAGAGATTCAGGAGTCAGTGAAAATATTATCATCTCTTGCCAGAAGGCCACCAGCTACCACTGGTTGGGAGTCTCATTATCACTTTTTTCTCTTCTGGACTAAAGTGTAAAATAGTCAGGATGGCTGTCAGAGTCTGCTGGCGCCCCAAGCTGTCAGGCAAAGTCAGGAAGCGGTAGATGATGTTTTTAAGGTACTCTAGGTTGGCTCCCTCTCTGCTCTGGTCCCTGATGTTCTTTTCGATGTGGCTCTGCAAGGCTCCAACTTCCTCACGATGCCGCTCCCCCTCCTCCAAAATTCGATCCTGCAACTGGTGCACCTCCACTTCCAGCCTGTGTTTCTGCTTCCTCAATGATGTGATCTCTACCTCCTTGCGAGCCAACTGCTCAGCATACAGAAAAAAAGTGGGTTCATTGGCCACAGCAAGTTGCAGTGCTTGGGTTAGGCTATCTGGAGAAGATGTGTCAGTGGGATCCCTAGGGCCCCCACCACCCACAGGGCTTCTGCGACCTGACAATCCAGAAGACAAGGCCACAGAACGCAATTGCTCCAGCTCCAAATCCTTCTCAGTGAGCACAGCCAGGGCTCGGTCCCGCTGCTTGTGCAGTTCCTCTTCCAGTTTCAGCGTACGATCCCTGAAGTCCAGCTGGCTGCGTTCCAGCTCTTGTCGGTGAAGCTGCTGCAGTCGGACCAGCTCCTGCTTCCAGTCCTCAGCCTCCTGCTGGTGCTGGCGCTCCAGCTCCTCACACGAGAGTCGGAGGGAGATATACTTCTCCTTCAGCTCTGCAAGCTGTTCCTGCGCTGCCTCCAGCTCCTTTGCCAGGTTCCCATCTTTGGTATTCTTGCTCTTGAGCACGACTTGGGCCCTCATCTTGTAGCGCTCAAACTCTTCCTTTAGCTGTTTCAGCTCCTGTTGGTAATAGAGTGCAGTAGCCTTTTCCCCATCGGCAGCCTCCGAGCTGGGCATTATCTCCAGGTCACAGAGCTTCTCCACATCCAGCGTCACCTGGCTTTTCCTGGCTGCAACCTGCAGCAGCCTCTTCAGTTTCTCCATCTTATCCTTCAGGACATTGACATCTAGACTGGACTCATCTGCATGGCTATCAAGAGGGGATCGACTGGAGGCTGCAAGAGCCAGGGTCTTGTTCTCCAGATCCAGCTGCAAAATGCGCTCCTTTAGTTTCTGGATGGTCAGTTGGTCTTTCTGTTTAGTTTTCTCATAGGTGCCCAGCAGTTCAGATACTTCAGATATCTGACTTTCTAAGGCTGCGACCCTCTGCTCTTCTACCTGAGATTGCTGGCGGAGCTGATCCTCTGCCAAAGCTGTCTACAAAACAAGGGAACAGACAAAAAATGCATTCAGAGAAGTCACAAAGCCCTACAGACAGCTTTGCAGGTGGGGAAGCTAAAGTGTCACAGAACAGTAGTGGGATGGCCTAAGGAATGCTTACTACTAAGCTCCTTTGTATATACGCTATTGTTCAGCTGTAGTTTTCCAAAGTTCAAATATAAATTATGCTCCTGCTGTCTACCTTGTGCTTCCCCAAATCCTATTAAGAAATCATATAACATTATTTTCTAATATGCCTAGAAATTCAAAACCTCTATAATAAAAGGATACACTCACTATAAAACATTGTTTTCCTAAAACAACCAAATCTTGACTGAAAGTAAATCCAAGATGTTAATTAGGTCACTCTACCCATAGGTACATAGCACTAGATATGCACACTCCCTTGCACTGTATAGCTACAATTACTATGCTTCACAGAGCACAACTGGTAGTATCCTAAAGCCCAAAAGCTCACAGCCCTCTGGCTCAGACCCAGCCACACTCAGAAACTCCACATTCCATTGAAAGGAAACATTGTAGATACTATTCAGACTGCACAGAACAGAATCTCCCAGGTCTTATTTTTCCGGGTGCATCAAAAGGGGGTAGGGGAAAAACACCCTATTTCCCACTTTGGGCTAGTGACTAATGTTTGAAGGAAACATGAATACTTACCTTTCTTATTTCCTGCTGCAGCTGAGCCTGGAAATGGCTCTTAAGGCAGGCAGCCTCTTCTTGAAGTTCTTGCAACCGGGGATCTGGCCGATTCTTCTCATCTCGAATGGCTTGTAACTCACCTTTCAGCTCCTCCACCTCACGAGTCAGCTGCTTGGTCTGCAGTTCAAATCCTTCTATCTGATCAGCTGCATAGGCCCGCCCTGCCAAGGCTTCTCGGGTCTCTTCTAACCTAAGTTCCAAGTCCTGGCGCTGGGTCCTCTCTTCCTGCAGCAGTTTCTGGAGCTCACGCAGCATCAAGGCATGGTCACTCTGCTCTTGGGCCCGATCATGCTGTTGTGTGATAAGTCGGGCTTTGGTTTCTGCTATCTGTTCCTGCAGCCCCTTCACTTCTCCCTCTAGGCGGTCCCTCTCCTCCTCTGCCTTTTTATTGGCTTCCTCTAAATCTTGTTTCATCTTCTTCTTGTCGGCCAGGTAAGAAGCCTCCATGCGGGACTTTTCCTGTGTGACTGTAGCCAAAGAGCTTGTCAAAGTAGCCAACTGGGTCTTCAGCTGGTGCAGTCTTTTGTCCACCTCACCACCTGCAAACGGTCCATCACCACTGCTACTGCTGACGCCACTCTCTGACCCACTAGCCTCTTCGGACTTCAGAGGTGGTGGTCCACGAGCCAATCTGTCATCCTCTACACCAAAATCGCCCTTGGTGCTTGTGAGACTGGCTGTGGTATCCAAGCTAGTGGCGGTCCCGGCGCTATCCTCGCTATGAGTGGAGCAGCGGTCATCCACAGGGTCAGAAAAGGTGAGACCTGAAGCCGGGACACCTGCGAGGCCCGCATCCGCCTCATGGGATACCGATAGCACCTTAATGCTGGCCTCCAGAGCCTCTTTCTCCTTAAGCAAACTTTTGTAGGCGCGAACCACATCCTTAAGCCGAGCCTGGTACTGGAGAAGCTGCTGCTTCTGCGTCTCTATGGTCTCCAGGAGGTCTTTCTTGCTCGGGCCGCCACCAAAATTCATCCCAAACTTCTCCATGGAGAATCCAAACGGGTTCCTCCACTTGAGAGTTCTGGCGACCCAGGAGAGGTCCGCGGAAGACGCGAGGGCCTGGAAGCAACGCGGAGAGACCTATTCCGCCACGGACCACACACTCGTTGCACCCTACTGTCTCAGACCGATGCAAGACAGGTGACAGCCTGGCAGAAGCGGCCGCTGGGTGCCAGGCCCAGAGCGGACAGCGAGTCCTACCCTGGAGGCGGGGCGATGCAGGAAGCACACAGCCAAAACTCTCCCGCACTGGTCCAGAAACAGCTCCACCCCCTCCGGCCACAACAACCCGGGCCGGCCCCCTCGGCCCACAGTCGGCCAAGGGTTTACACTGAATCCAGTCCCATCATTACTTCCTAACTGCCGCGGGCAACCATCAAGGCGGTTCCGGGTCCGCTGGAAGTGACGACAGCGCAACGCCAGAGGCTCCGCCCCCGGGGAGCCGTGTGGGCGGGGCTCCTCCCGCCAGGGGGTGGAGGCGGCCTGTTTAGAGCCCAGCTGGGCTGCCAGCTATACAGAACAGCTCTAGGAAAGAGTGAAGCAAGTGCAGCTTTGGACACTAGGCGCTGGTTCGGCAAGCTGGCTCTCTGGCTACATCAGCGAGCATCGGGCGGCGGAAGGGGGAAGGGGGGGAGGCGACGTAGCTCTGTGTTCATTGCAAACATCCGGGTGAGACTTGTCCAACTGTTTGGGATTCAGGACCTATGTAACCCAAAGGACGATGGTTAAGACTCTTATTTGGACCAAGGAAAACTGCAGTCCTTTTGAGCACGGTACTTGGCACCTAGTTGGCGTTGTAGCATTATAGTTGGTTCCTCTCTTTAGTTCCTCTAAATAGCTTCAACAGGTAAGAGAGGGCAATGGATTGCCACGAGGCCATCCTAAATGCCAGCTATATGTCAGAAACCTCACAAGTCTTGCTAGTCTTTACAAAATTCTGTTCAGAGTATCGTTAGCGCTATTCTACAGATGTGGGAACAAAAGTCACAGAGAAGTTAAGTGACATGTTGAAAATCATGTTACAACTAGTAATGCTAGGCACAGTCAGTCTTTCAATGTACCAAGAGATACAAAGGTGACATGGAAGAGACCTCGAGGAACTTAGAATCTATTAAGAAATAAGACATGCAAAAAAAAAAAATAGGTCCCTTTATCAAACCAGTATGTATGAGTATATTCAAAGTGGTATGGAAGAAGAGAGAGATCTGTCTAGGGGAAGCTCAGAGATCTCAGGGAAAAAAAAACTTTGGGATTTTGAAAGATGAGTAATGATTGCCTGTCTAAATAGGGATGAAGGAAACCAGCATTCTAGGCAAATGGAAGAGACTGCAAAGGACTTATAGCTATCAAAGAGCCTGACTCATCCAGCAAGCATAAGAAGAATCTCGAGGCAGTATCTTAGGTTATAGAAAGAAGGTGACAATAGATGGGCCTAGCACAATAGGTAGTAAGCATTTAAATTTTATCTTGGGTGACAATAAAAAACTAAAAGATTTTAACTTCAAGGGATGGGGGTATCATTAAGATTTGTATTATGGAGATACCTAAGGGCAGAAGACCTGTGAGGAGTCTCCTATGAGCTGGTTTTGAAATAGGACAGTAACACCGATGGAGAAAGAGCTGATAAGAGCTTAAAATGGTGACACTAGCTCTGTTATTATATTGGGAATTGTGACGCTAGCTCTGTTATTATATTGGGAATCTTTTAAATGTACTCTTCAACCTTGTAGGAGCCTTAAGAAAATAACTCTGTGACCAAAGAATAAAGTCAAACAATTACACCTGAGTCCAAATGCCTGTTCTATTACAGACTTTGCTGGACAGGAGGAAGCAGGTTCTGAGGTTCTGTTCAGACCAAGTTTCTTAGTAGCCCAGCTAACATCAAGATGTGTTTCACAAAACATTGACTGGCATCATCTCAATTTAATCTTTACTGTAATCCTGAAGTTAGAACAAGTGCAAGTTTCCTTTTACAAATGAGACTTGTGGGAATTGTTGAAGCCAAATCCTCAAAAAAGGGCAGAACTGATATTTTTCTTAAGGCCTGAAACAGGGCTGACAGATTTTTTTGAATAAAGGCTTTTAAATTCTGAGCTCAGCTCACCTCCCATAAGTAACTGATCCTCAAAGCCCCCTGGAAATCCAGAATAGACTGTCCTAACTCCACTTCAGTCCAGTTCAACCCAACATGTATTTATTAAGCACATATTAGATGCCTGACATCAACCCAGTCTCCACTACAGAAGAAATGTATATTAATTCCCATCTAACTACTCTCCTCTGATAAAATAGAGAAGGTTACATGTAAGTTCTGTATGTCTAGGGAGACAAAACCTTCAGAAAATGTTGGGTAGGTATACACTGATGATCCAGATCTTACTTCAGAAAGAACAGCTATCATCAAGAAATCGAATAGTAACAAATGCTGGTGAAGACTTCAGGAGAAAAGGAACCCTTCTGCATTGTTGGTAGGAATCTAAACAAGTACAACCACTATGACAATCAGTATGGAGACACTTTCAAAACCTAAAACAAGAAATTCCACTTGACTCAGCTATTTATTTTTCTAGGTATTTTCCCAAAAGTTAAAGACATTATATTACAGAGATACATACATGCCATGTTTACAGTAGCACAATTCATAACTAAAGTTTGGAAGCATTCTATAGCAATGGATTAATGGGTAAATAAAATGTGGTATTTACTACTGGTCTACCATAAAGTAGGAAAAAACAAAATCATAGAGACATTTTTAGGTACACAGGTGTACCTTGATACCATAATATTAAGTGAAACACACAAGCTTGAGAATCACATGGTTTCACTTACATGAGAAATCAAAAACGTAAGGAGCAAAATAAAAGACAACAGGAAATAGGGAAATCTTTTGCAAGTGAAAAGAGGACCAAGAGATGAAGAGGGGAGGGAAGAGTTAAAAAGGGAATGAAAAAAGAATTGAGATGTGTTATGCACATATGCCAGCTCCACAGAAGGAATGTAATCATTATGAACATCACACATATACAAATAATAAAAACTGAAAAAAATCCAGATCTCCACGTGTGTCAGAGAAGGAACTTAAGAAACGCTGCCTGGCCAGAAACCAATAAGCACCATTCCTAGGGAGATGGAGATGAAGGCAGAGTTCTTCAGGAGTAAACCAGTGACACCTCTCCACAGCTGGCCGTCCTCCCGCTGATTCTGCTGACTGCGATAGGAAAAAGGCATTTTAAGTAACTGAGGAAGCAGCCTGGGTTCCCTGGGCATTTTCCTCCCTCATTCTGGCACAGTGCTGGAGTGATCTCCCCATCTGCTGCCTGCAGTCCTCAGCCGGGACCCAGTGGAGGAGAGAGAAAACTAGGACTCTTGCGGCAGCTTCCGCTCCCTGAACCGGGTGCTGTGCACTGCAGTTCCCGGATCTAAACCCGAGCCCAGCGTGGGTGGACCCAAAGCCCAAGGCCCAGCGGCCACCACCAAAGACAGAGGCAGGAGGCCACTGCGGAGCGACAAAACGTTTCCTCAGTCCTCCTTAGGCTCCGCATTCGGCGGTGGCAGGCCAGACTGGCTCGCCAGAAACCAGGGGCCGCCCGCACGCACCGCCCTCCCAGGCCGCGCGCACCCCAGCCGGGCTGCGGCGCCTCGCCCGCGTCAGTTTACCCCGCACCCGAGCCGGGGGCGGGGCCGCGTGACGTCGGGCGGCCCGGACGCGCGGAGGCGGCGGCGGCACCTCCCCTTTCTGCTGCTGCGCCCCATCCCCCAGCGGCCGGCCCGTTCCAGCCCGCACCCCGCGTCCGTGCCCGCGCCCCCGCCCTCGGGCCCCGCCATGGGCCTCACGGTGTCCGCGCTGTTTTCGCGGATCTTCGGGAAGAAGCAGATGCGGATCCTCATGGGTGAGGCAGATCGAGCGCTCGGCCCGTTCTGGGCCGTCGGCCCCGGCGCAGCCCTTCCGCCCCCGCATCCCTCCTGCCCCGCTCACCTGGTTCTCTGACCTTAGTGGCCCGCCTCCTAACCTGGGGGGCCCCTGTTCGCCAGCGGGTGCGGGTCTGCAGCGCAGTCCCGGGGCCTGGAATCGGGAGCTGCGGGCCTGGGTGGGGTGAGCTCCCTCCGCCCCAGCCCGGCTGCTAGGAAGGGAGGATTCCGCCCTTGGAGATGACTTTTAAAAGGAGCTCGGGCTTCCTCCCGGGCGACTCACCTCCCAGTCCCCTCCCGCCCCTCGCCCACTTTCGTAGGAGTTGGCGCCGCCGTGCCCGCACCCCCCGCCCCCACCCCAGGCCCGAAGGTGGAGAACGGCGCGCACCTGGAGACTCTCGGGCTCTCCGCCCCCGACCCCGGCGGCCGGCCTGGCTTTTCCCTTTCCCTGGTCTCTAGGGGGCTCCCTCGCTCCCTCTCCATTCCTGTGTCACTCTCCTTTGCAGTTGGTTTGGATGCGGCCGGCAAGACTACGATCCTCTACAAACTGAAGTTGGGGGAGATTGTTACCACCATCCCCACCATAGGTGAGCCCTGGGCAAAGCAGGGAGGAGCTAGAGCGCTGTTGTGGGCTTTCTCGGTTTGGGTCAGCAACCAGTTCTGCCCAGACCCTTATCTGGAGCTGACTGTGACACCAGATACCACTACTGGTGAAGTGGGTCACAGTATCCCTGTGTGGCAGTGGTGCTGGAGGCGGGGTGCCTGTGGCTTGCCCCAGGGGCCTATGTGTTGATTGCTAGTCCCCCTGGGTTCCACTCTCTAACCCTTCTGGTTTTGTGCCCCTACTGAGATCCAAAGAGTTTTGCTGAGTTCCTTCTTTAAGAACTGTTTCTTATTTTTCCCCCATGTTATCTGCAGGCTTCAATGTGGAAACAGTGGAATATAAGAACATCTGCTTCACAGTCTGGGATGTGGGAGGACAAGACAAGATTCGGCCTCTCTGGCGGCACTACTTCCAGAACACTCAGGTGAAATGTGAGGGGCACTCCCCAGCTCCAGAGAAGAGGTGTTAGGGCTAGAAAGACAGAGCTGTTGGCCCAGAAACTCCTTCCTGCCTCTTCCCCACTTTGCTTGGCTAGCCTCTACACAGCCTTCAGAACTCACCTTGGTCTTGTTCAGAGTCCTAGCCACCTTAAAGGTCTCCTGGGAAGCAGCGTTTTGAGGCCACACTGCCTGATTGAGCTCTCAGGTATCTTTCTCTGGTCCTTTGTGTGTTAGGTAGACTGCTTCTTTGAGGGTAGAGGCTGTGTCCTATGTAGTGTTGTCTGTAATTTGCACAGTGCCCTTTAAGGTTGCTAAATAAGGAGGGCTATCACAGTTGAAGATGAGAGAAGAGAGAAAGTGCCACTTTAGGGTAGTGCTAGGTGAGAGTGGTTGCCTCTCATTCCGTTCTTCCTTTCCACCCAGGGCCTCATCTTTGTGGTGGACAGTAATGACCGAGAGCGGGTCCAGGAATCTGCTGATGAGCTCCAGAAGATGGTGAGTACCCAGATCTTTGAAAGTGAGTCCACGGGGTGGACTCAGATCTCTATGGTGGTGTGGGAGTCAGGGAACTCTCCACAGTCATGGAAGGTAGGGAACTTGGATTTCTTTGTGGACCCTAGACAGTATTTCTCACCCCCGTTTGGGATAGGACTGACTTTTCCACAGTTGTCATGCCTTTATATCCAAGTCTGAAAAGTTGGTAGGGAGAAGGGAGTTACATGTGGTAGAAAAAAGTGACACCTCATATGCTTGCTTTTTCTACTTAGAAATTTTGTCACTTTGCCTAGAGCAAGTTCTCAAATTTTTGACTTTAGACTTTAGAATTTAGACTTTTTCTAAACTTTAAGGTTTAGGTCAGAGATGGTGAATCTTTTAGAATTTTCAATGATAACAAACAGCCCACTGCTGCCCGTGTGCCATGAGTTCGTCATTACTGGCTGAGGTGGCCTCAGCTCATTTAAAATTTTCTCTTGTGTTCAGCAACAAATTATATGGTACTGTATTTTTCCTGAAAAGAAAATAGATGGGGGCCTCCCCAACACAGCATTTGGGAGGGAGCCTGGGGACCCCTTGGAGCCACAGTTTCTACCCTCTCATCCCCTCTCAGCTCCAGGAGGACGAATTGCGGGATGCGGTGCTGCTGGTATTTGCCAACAAGCAGGACATGCCCAATGCCATGCCCGTGAGCGAGCTGACCGACAAGCTGGGGCTACAGCACTTGCGCAGCCGCACGGTGAGGGTCCCGCCCTTTCACAGTGAGCCCTGCCTGTCCTAGAAAAGCCACAGGCTGGGGCAAATGTAAAGATGCCCCCTTTCTCCCTGCTGCTGATCTTTTTTTTCTTTCTTCCCACAGTGGTACGTCCAGGCCACCTGTGCAACTCAAGGCACAGGCCTGTATGATGGGCTGGACTGGCTGTCCCATGAGCTGTCAAAGCGCTAACAAGCCAGGGGCAGGCCCCTGCTGCCCAGAAGCTCCTGTGTGCATCCCGGGGAAGACAAGACTCTCGGACTCCTCAGGCAGTGCCCTTGCCTCCTCCACTCTTCCCCCCACAGACAGGCCTCTGCTCCTTCTCCTGCCTGCATGTTCTCTCTGTCGTTGGAGCCCAGAGCCCTGCTCTCTGGGCATAGAGGGGTCCACCCTCCTGCCCGCTGGAACCTATGGAAGGGCTTCCTGGCTAAGGCCTCCTTTTCCAGAAGAGGAGCAGAGATCTGGGTTTACTTTTGTTCTTTTCTGTTTTGAATATACCCTTGGGGCCAGGTTTAGGGGGGAAAGTGAGGGCTGTGGGTGGTGCTATGATGTGAAACTGGATATTGAGTAATAAATTTGCTGTGGTTTGTACTCAGTGTTGTGTGTGGCCTAGAAACCAGGGGATGGAGACAACATGGGAAACAGTTAACATAGCTGAAACTGCAGGGCCAGCATACATATGCATACACCCTCATCTAGTCCAGCTTCTCTCTTTTTATTCTTAATCTAAAAACACTGGTGGGGGTTGGGGGGTTCAGTTGCTATTTCCTAGGACCATAAGCAGAGGATCACAAGATCAGTTTTATATTCCATACACAATATATTTTCCATCCTTCTAGTTACATAAAGCAATAGTTCATCATTTTGTATTTACACACGGGCAGAGATACGCATTAAAAATATGGAACCTGAGCACATTGCACAAAATTAATTCTTCAGAACTAGTCTAAAACCCTATGATATGCATCTTTAAAATTTCCCAAATGATCTGGTGCTAGTCAGAATCTTAGCCTTGTTATACAAAATCCTGGTGGAGAGTCAGGGATATAGCTTAGCAACATGGCATTTGCCTGGTGAGTACAAGGCCCTTTACACAAAAAAATTGTGGTAGAGTTGGGATTACCATGTCTTAATGGACTCCACTGGGACTCTTAACTATATAAGAGGATCCCATCTATAGAGGATCAGAAAGTGCATATAAGGAACTAGGACTGTGGTTTTCCCTTGGGATCCAACAAACATGAAATAAAACCCTTCATTACCCCCTTCATTTCTTTTTGTCTTTATTCCCCTTTCATTTCAAGTTTCTGGCCTGGATTTTGTGCTTTTCAGGGAATGTCCCAAAGACCACTGGACAATGGAGCCTCCTTGGAGGGGAAAGGCTGATACCCTGAAAAACAGCTCCAGCTCTCCTGCCAGCCAGCTGACCTTCCCACCAGGAATACAGCCAGGATCTCCCTCCACCCAAGCTGTTTTTACCATGGTTCTGAACCAGCCCTTTCCAATTCATATGAGTCATTTCATTCTTCCTGGTTATCTTAAGGTTTCCTTACACTCCTTGCAAAATATTTGTAAGACATTCTGCCCCAGTTTCTCAATGGCCTAAAAGCTGTTTGATTTTTCTTGGATATCTTGATTTGAAAAAAACACTTGTGCCACAAAAGAGCCAGACAGAATCCATTTCCTAGAGAGAAAATAGGTTGATTTCTATCCTGCTAATGAAAAGCAGGCAAAAAGAGGAACATACCTAAGGTCACAGTCTGCTATTCTGATTCCTAGTCTTAGTTCAGCTTACCTTATCACCTGGAGTGGCATGAGGAGGTAAATGGCAGAGGATCTGGGTGCACTTCCTCCAGGCCATGCACTGATGTTGCTGCAGTGTGGTGGGATAAAAGGGACCCCCTCAGTCACAATGCTTCCGGGTCACAGAGGTGCTTGCCCCTAGGCCAGTCTCTGCCTGGGAAGTTCCCTGTGGGAACATCTGGTGGGTACTACAGGCCTTATTGTGGGACTTATGGCCTGTGGAACCTCACCAGTGGGGGGAAGGCTGGGCGGGACAGAGTCATCACCTGTGACACCAGTCCCATGGATGAGGTGGAGTGGATGCCCAGACACCCAAAGCCTGAGGACCTAAGAATTGGGCTCATCAGCTGGGCAGGAACCTACCTCACCTTCGAAGCATATAGGAATGCAGTCAGAGCTAATGCAAAGAGTTTGGGCAGGAGACAGGTAACAAGCAAACCTATATGAAACCAGCTTGCTGAGTGTGTGGTGTGTGTGGCAGTGGAGCGCACTCTCAAACTGATCACTTTCCTCACCCTTACCATTGCCAAGCCAAGTTTTCTAAATCTATCTGCCAAAAGTGAAGCCTCAGTCCTGGCCTGGTTTTACTCTGTTCAGACTGCTCCTTATACTCCATACCAAGATAGGGGGTTGCATCATCACAAAGAGGAAATCCCCAATTGGAAGGCACAACTGAGACATCCAGGGGAAGCTGAACCAACTGGATTATGGTGCAAGGCCTATGTTTCTATTCTGGTAATAGTTTGTGAATGGAGTATTCTAGAAGCTCTTGCAAACTTGTATTGCTGGAATGGGTGGCAGAGTGAGGCAGAAGCAAAGTCCTTTTCTTAATGACATAACTGACTACAGCAAACCAGACAGTGCTACTCAACAGTCTGCTCCCTTGTTCGTCCCAGGAGCCCAGCCTGCTTTTAAGAGTTCTTGCTTTTCTTCTGCTCTGTTGGGAAGAAGGCCTCTGAGAAGGGAGGTATTGGCTGAGTGGGCTGTCCAAGGGCAAATGAGGACATAAGTCAAACTTAAACCAAAGTTTTTCTTGGAATCTTTTCTTAAAAAACTAGTTCTTGAAGGAGAGAATCAAGAAAGTAGAAAGGTTTATCTTTTGTTATCTGGGGAACATTGGCATCTAGAAGTTTCCTTTGGATTTTGAGAAGCCCTATGGCTCCAATAGTGGAGTATCCTAGAGATCTTTTCATTACTGTCAGTTTGGAAGGTGGACAAGCTGATAGCAAAGGAGATGCCAGGGCACAAGAAGAGGGTAAGATGGTCGGTCTTGGTGAAGGTGCTGGGGCCATGATTATACAGTCCCTCGGTCTAGTCACCTGGCTATACCTATTTTCCTCTTTTCCCTCCTGACCTTTCAGATCTGGGATCTCTTGGTGAGCAAT